CCTATCTTCCATAATGTAACACCGAACTCAGTTGTATTACTGGCTTGAACATCCCGGGACAATGGATTCCACAATTTAAAATTATACACTGTGCAAAGAAGTATTTTTGTTTTAGGTGACTCCTAGCATTGGATGTGGGTTAAGAAATAAAGCTGTGTAGAAGGATATTTTCATTGGTCAGAGACGAAGAACGGAAGTGGTTGGGGAGGGTCACTTTAGATTCTTCCCCCCACTTTAGGGAAGAGGAGAGGGGTTGTACTTTCTCATTATTATTTTATTGTCTCTGTAGTTCTTTCCCTTTTGTCATAAGCCACCCCAAAACTATGTGAAAAGGTGTCACATGTATACAAGGATTGCTAAAGACATAGTTCCACCAATTCATTTTTTCATTCCATGGATTTTTCTAGATGGCTGCTTCCCCCCCACAAGCTGAAACCTTTCAGCCTTTTCAGCTTCTCCTTATATGGAGGCCTTTCTGCAGGCCTGATTTAGCTTTCTTGTCCCTACTCTCTTCCTTCGCTAGTTCCAGCGTAGGAAAGTTCACCATGGACTTTCTAGTGACACAACAGCACCTCCGCTTCATTCCCTTTCCTAGCAGCACTTCCTATCCTGTTTGTCTCGTCAGCTGGACGCTCACAGCAGCAGCCCGTCCTTGGAGGTCGTTGGTGGGTCTCCACTCCATCTCTGGGGACAGGGAACCCACAATTCAGCCCCATCCCTGCAGGCAGCCAGGGCCATGGGGTTGCTCAGTGCAATTTTATCTGCTCTTCCGTGGGTTTGTAACTCTTTCTGGAACTCTCTGCCTGGGTCTGCCTGCGGCTGGGACTCGCTCCTCCCCTCCTCATGGCGAATGCCCAGGCCCCCTCCCTACTCGACAGGCTGCGGGGCGCCGCACCGCCTCACGCCGGGGCTGGGACGGCGACACAGCGCCCTGCACGCTGCCCTCTCGCTCAATGCTCTGAGCACGGTCGGACGGCTGAGGAGACACCCCCGCTCACAAAGCAGGCCCAACCCCACCCACCCACCCCCTCTGCCC